CATGTTTCAAAAATCACCGTCCGAAAATTAAAAGAATCGAGCGTCGAAGTTCTGCCTGACCCACTACACTCCACAGACTTCTTGCCAACCGACTACCATTTTGTCTACCATTTTGATGACTCACCTGCTGATAAGACCTTTGCCAATCAGGACTAGGCAAAACCTATCTTCGTAGACTTCATCGAATCCCGAGCACACAATTTACATGCTGACGGAATTAACTGACTAGTGTTATGTTGGAAAAAGTACACTAAATCAAATGACGCTTATTTCGATCAGATTGAATGAGTATTCACAGTTTAAAGGAGACTCATAAAAATGGACAAAACTTTTGAAACAACCTAATACTCATATCCAAAAACCATACTTAATGTTTGATTTTGCGTTGCCCCAGAACTCCATTCCAAAAATTTTGTCGATTGATATCTAATGTAAAGTAGTAACTGGAATAGGTATTTACGTCGGGATGGGAATTTACATTCCAAAAATGGAATAGTGCAATGAGAAACCACAGCTTCAGATGTTTTGGTAATCAGAAGGATTAGGTATAAAAAGAATACCAGTAGTTTTAGATATATACCTGAAAGCTCAAACCTTTGTTTACAACATACAATGGCAGAACTAGTTAGGAAAAATCTACTTCGACTTTTCAAAAAGCAAGTGAATCTAGGTTCATTGTTCTTCTGTATGAACCAAGATACCATAACATAATGAAGAGGTATAATCGATGAATGTTTGTTCGCATAAATCTTTTCCCATCCGTCGCCTGTAACATGAGTTTATAAAGATATTGTTTTCCAAAACTATAAGTTGAAGTTAGGTGAACTGATAGACTACAAGCCTGTTATTTCATCAACGGATATTTTTTGTGATACATTTCACTCGAACACAGAGCTGTATGAGAAAAATTACATTCTTTCTGAAAAGAGAAAATTCATGGCAAAACGTATGCCATGCTTTGTCGATACTTCAGAAAGCTGAATGCAACAACAAATTGATCCAGAATTCTGTAAAATTATTTTGTCATACGTGATAGATCGCAAGCTTAAATTTTTGAGCAAAAATGTATGATTTTTGAAACAATAAAGTAGAAAATGAGTTTCAGCCTTTTGCCGTCAGTAGTCAACACCTCAAGTGGGAGGTTATTTATCAAATGTTCCTGTCCCACTATTTGCAGTCTGAAACCCCCATAATATGACGCTCCACAGAGTCATTGAAAGGGGGCGTCATCCATACATACTAGTACTCAAGCATGTCGTTCAAGGACAGTTGAATCCAACTATGATGAACTCTATAAAAGTTCGAAATAGCAATGTTTGGTACTTATGATGCACTGTTTGGAACCTTTGGTGTAGTAACGAATATTACCGGAGTTTTTTCCCAACACCAAATCATTATTTTTAACACCTCGACACGTGTTTCGATCACCAAGTGATCATCTTCAAAGAGGAAGATTAAAACTGAGTTTTAATCTTCTCCACTCCAGTAATATGCAATGTTTGGTGTTGAATAATGAATGCTTTGTTTTTGGGCTGTGGTTTGAACCATTTAAAAATATGTATTGGTGTACAAGAAAAATAAGATGATGTTGATTTCGTCCCATGAATGGATTGAAGTTTATACCTATTACTGGTTTCTGAGATATCTATCTCAGTTCTCTTCATACGATTGAAGAATTCATTTATAGTTTGAGGTCAATTTCATTTATAACTTGAACAATAACAGATATTTTTCATCACTGAGTGACTAAAGATTGAACATTGGAAAAAAAGGACTAATTTGAGTTTTCTTCGAAGCTCTGGAAGTTGTACGGTGTGAAAAAAACTGAACTGGAATCATTATTGTTTCAGGTAATTGATGAAGAAGTAAGAGTTGCTTCGATTCGAATGATTATTAGAGACATAAGTCATAATATATAACAGCAGCAATATGAAAAATTGATATTTTACCAACAATAAATAACAAGAAATTGTTCAAAAATACAGGTTCTTATTTAAAATGTCACAGTTGAAGTATCCAAGTCAGACGACACCTATGATAGTCTAATTATGATAGTCCAGCAAGGTGTGAACAGTTTTACAATATTTCTGCACATAAATGAGACGCAGTAAGAATCAAATTTTGGAATTTTTGGTTTTTCTCATATATCTCCGAACAAAAAAGCTATTGTGAATTGTTGCCGAAAATCCACTCTCTATTCCTCACCGTTTATAAGATAGACATGCAGGCTCAAATTTGAAGATGGTGATATCAATTATAATTGAAAAAAATCTTTAGAGAGATCACGTATATGCAAACCGCAGAAACGTGTTTCTGGCTCATTAGCCTTCACCATTACGGCTTACGAAGTGCAAGAATGGGCAACATTTGGTTGCAAGAAATATCATGAATGCACAGAGATATCAACAGAAGCCAGTCACACTCTGTATTTTCGATTAGATGGCCTCGGGTCGAAGGATTTACAATACGGTCTCCACGGAGGCTTTATATCAAGTCAAGAAGTGAACTGATAAGTCGATACGAGTCATCAACTTGACCTGACCTCTGATCATTCCAGCGGTACTCAGTACTTCAATTTCAATTATAACTTAATAATATTGTCAGAGTTTTATCTAGATCTGAAGGTCTAGCAGAAACTGTGTAGGATGATTTCGATTAATTATTTTTATTAAACTTATTATAACTCATAAACTAATCGAGATGCGATAAAAAACCTTTGAACTTATTTATTTTCTATGAATTGAAGGACAAATTCAGCCTAAAATTCGAATTCTCACATTTGTTCGAAAAAAATCAGGATTTTTTACAATTTGTATGTTCAACTATTTCATAAACCCTAATTAATATGAGCCACCATCTAAAATACGTTATCAGGAAATACAGAAATCTAAAATGGAAAAAAAACTCAAAATTGAAATGAACACAATTTTCAGTTCATTTTCAGTTTGTAAGATGCTTAGGCTAATAAACTTGGGGAAAATATTCTTGTAACGTTATTTTCATTAATGTATCTATCATAAAATGATACATTTGGAGTGGAGTTGATAGAGAATGAATATGAACAAGTTCTGAGTTTTTTCATCATTTCCCAATTAGTTTGTAAGTTATAATAAGTTCCATGGAGTGAGAATGGTGGAGTAAAGAAGAACAGAATTTTTATAATTTGATGTGAAATCTGAATGAATTTTTTTCCTCAAGAAATAATATAAGTATGGTTGTTTTTATTACATTGTGTAGAAGGAGAAATGAGTATATACAAAAATTTAAATGTTCATAACAAATCGTTCAGTGAATGAAAAAATACAATTTAAATGAAAACAAATTTGTTTCCAGTTATAAAAGAGCAAAATAAAATTTGAAATTATGATTATATTTACAAAAAAAAGCATAAGCAACGCATTTATTCATAAAATTTTTTGAACAACAGCAATATAAATTATGAAATTATGTTAGGTTTTCAAAAACAAATTTATATTATCTCATAAACAACATATTTGTTCATAACAGTTAAACAATAGCAGATAAAAAATTTAAAATAGTTGCTCCTGATCTTACGGATCGATAGTTACATTAAAAATATATATTTACAATGATTAATGAATCTTTCTAATTTTAATCTCAACATATTGAAAACAATTGTTTTATTTTTCCAACGGAACTTCATTCTAACACCTTTTGAAAATAGCTCTAAAAAAGGCAAGGAATCTCATATTTGTTAATTCACAATTTTATCACTTGCAATGTTCCTGTTTAAGTAGGAAAAATTGTTAATTAACTAATGCATAATTGACTGGAAAATCACGATTAAACATTTTTTGAACGCAAATTATTGTTCATTCATTTATTCAGTAGGTCTGAATTTTTCCAAATCTTGAATTTGATATTTAATAAGTTGAAATAATATTCTTCCATTGAAGTCCAAAGTAGGCGTGTCTTGCGCAAGCCAAATATGCCAAATTGTTTTTGAAATATTTGCAAAAACTTGAACTTGAAATTTTTTTAAACAATTTTTTCAGAAATCATCTACACGCTATTCTGAACCGAATGACACCTCGTTTATAGTTTTCGAATAAGGCAAAATTATTGAATAGCAAACGAAACTCATCTCATTGAGATTTCAACTGAAGTGTCGGATATAATTCAATATCCAGCTTGGTACTAGCCAGGGAAGTAGTTTTCCGACAGGCATTTACCAGAACCTACTGTGTAGATACGTTGGGAGAAATGAATGTTTCGAAATATTCATTTTCTTATGATCTTAAATATTCAGATCCATAAACGAAAACCCAGTATATATAATATATAAACATAGTTTTCTCTTGGAACTGAAATGATCTATCACGGAAACAATCTAGAACAGAAAACAATCTATTGGAAAGTCTAAAAAACCTATGAGTATTTATAACTACTTAACTGATTACAAAGAGTAAAAGGATTATATATCTGCAACAATATTGAAAATTGACTTTTTATATGTCAAAACTAGTTACATCCATTTTCAGAGGTCTTCAAATTCATAAAAAGAATTTTCATCATTATTATTTTGAGTTTCTTCTGATTGAAATAGAGTAGTTGAAAGCTGAAAAAGTTTTTAATAAAACTCAAATTTTTCTGAAATCTTTTGAAGAAATCCATTATCTATCACCAAATCCAATGAGGCACTGAGACAGATATCTTGAGGCTGCTCGAAAAATTTCTTTCTTTCAAATGACTTTTGATTGAAGAAATATGAAAGAAATTCATTGAAACTTGGGTAATATATATGTAATAACACTACGAATCAAAAAGAATTATTTTAATCAAATTTAACACCTGATTTGATCTACAAAAATACGTCGATAGGAAGAAATTCTTATATTTGTTGTTTTATTTAATTATGAATGATTTCCGATGGATATAGTTTGTGAAATGTAATAACGCAGACAAATGTTATAAACTACAAACAACAAATCATTGTGAAAACATCATTCGCGACTTGTGTCTATAAATACAACACTTACTTCCACAGAATGCTACGTTGAAACTGCTAATTGCCAAAATAAAATAAACTGTTACCAACACTAAACCAGAAAATTGGCGAATGATGTGCATTTTGAATTAGTACTGAGTTGTGTAAAATGAAAATTTGAATTTATATACGCGTACCGATCGGTGCATCAACAGGTTCAATATGAAATGATAAAACTCAAAGACGGCGATGAAGTGCGGCTTTTAACAAAAAATAATTTTTTGCAGTGGCAGAATCATGGGAACCATTGTAGATAATAATAAACGAAACTTACTATATATGATGGAATTGGCCGATACTTGATGAAAATCCATAACTAACGTATTCAAAAAACACTTCATTGTGAGATTTTCACTAAACGAATTTACAAAAACGCAACACGTGTTTCGCCATACAATGGCTTCTTCGGGCGTGTCTTTACTAACTAATTTTACATATTCAATGCTTAATATACCTTATTTTACAACTTACTATAGTCAATTTCTATTCACTAATTTTAAAAAACATTTGAAAACGAGGGCATCTTGACTAATAATAATACATGATAATATTGATAACATATTTGTTGTAATGGGCAGGAGCATGAAAGCCATTTCAGTTCAATACCTATTTGCGCTAGGCTCCTGTAGGTGATCAATTCATATGTGTAGTTTTCTGTTCTCGGCAACAAGGTGTTGCCTATATTTGCACTTGGCTGCATAGCGCAGATGAGGTTGATAGCCAGAAACACGTGTTCGCGGTTTGCCCCCCATTTTGAAATTTTGTTCAGAGCTCTTTGATTTTTGAGTAAATTCGCGATCATTTAAGTATGTTGGTCTGACTGGTCGGTTGCTTGTTGAAACTAACACAGGTACTAATAAAGTAATTTGTTTCAGTAAACGAGGAAACACAAGCTGCCATTCAACAACTTATTGAGAGTGGTTAGAGCAGTTAGTTGTGTATATCATGCATCAACTCAGAGTTGAAAGAGTTCATTAGAAGCATAATCACTTTCCGGTTAATAACCATGATACTTTGAAAAGGAGTATTTTAAACATTTTCTCAGACCTCACCATATGCTTTCAATTGTACTTTGGTTGAACAGATACCAAATGTGCTTCTCATATATCTGATCACTTCAAACGAATGCGTATTATTTTCAAACTGTCCATACTGAAGAAACTAAACCAGTACTGATTTATTGCTCTTTGCTATTTACACTTTATACTTTCGACTTCGAAAATGCAGTCAAACATTGCAACATAAACTTTCACGCTTGAAAAAATAAACCAAGATATATCCAACTTAATTACTACATCTAGATGTCACTGTTCGAAGATGAACGCAGATAAAACCACTGTTTTAGATTTTGGTAGTGAAACCACAGAAAAAAATAAAAAACATAAAATTATGCGTCGAAAATCGAGAAATCTTACAAAGATGCTTCCGCAATTTGGGACTATTTATGGATGATGAACTGAGAGTCAAATTCCATATCTGTCATATTCGTCAAATATTATTCATGAACTTACAGAAAATATATGCTAATGAAATCAATTCTCCGTAATTCTTTAGTGCTAGCTTGGTTCAATTATTCAATTATTGTGACTCTGTATATGGTCCATGTTCAGATGCCGAAGATGTCCGTCGTATAGAAGTGATGCAGAATTCGTATTTGCGACTCATATATGGAATGAGAAGGTGACAAAATATATCTTACAAACTGAATCAGCATGAATGGCTGAATATAGCAAGGAGAAGACTATTGAAATCTGTTTAAAATCTGTTTTTCGGTTAACCAGATGTCGCACACTAACGAAAGACAACCCTCAGAAATAGAAACTTGTGCGAGCTAAGGATTAACGAAGTCTTTTTTAACGTGTGATTCCTAACACGGGTTGGACGATAGCAAGTGAAAATCGATCGTTCAGACTAGGACTTGAACCACCGACCAACACGGCAGTCAATTCGAGTGAGTGAACAAAGCACTCACGTCGAACCGCTTGGCTATCGACCGACCGGCTATTGCATTCGTCTTGTCTGTGAGCTGTTTACCAGCTCAAAAACTCTTTTCTTTCGAACAGATTTTTTTTCCGAGAGGATAGAATTCATAGAACAGGCATTTATGAAAGATCCTTTTGTTATCAAGTATCGAAGGTTTATAATTCAATTTCCCAAAATTTGAAGATTTTGAGTGAACGAGTTTTTAAAAAAAGAATGAAAACTCATCTTCTTGATGAACCATAACAAGTATAAATTAGATTGATGAACTGTGCTGTTCTCGGAAAATTGTATATAACAATAATATAACAATGATTTTCCTACCGATGACAACACTGGCAATGACAACGGACGCTTTGAGTGAGCACATGAGCTGAGAGATAGCCTTATGCATTATTGCTACGAGAGTAGTGAGCCAGCACGAAGTGGTGAGATTGCATGCTCTGTGGTGTGAAACACATCCGAAGCATGCCGCCTTTCCCGCCCAAAATCTTAGGGATACGTATCCTATCATCGGCGGCAGGGCTATATAGCTCCTCCCCAGCCTGCAGCTGATGAACTCCTCCCCAGCGGGCAACTGCCCGAGTAGCTGATGAACTCGGTTTAGTTTTTGACACTGAACAGGGTGATCACAACTCTTTCACCAAGTTGGAATCCGTTCAGCAAAAAGCTCATATAAAAGCCGCAGAGATAACCTCACTTCTGCGGAAATACAAGGATAAGCCGATGGATGGGGTCTTCTTCAATAACATTGGAGACCTTGGCTTATCAAAGCGCCTGACTTTTGCTTTCCTCAGGTCGAGTGGGCTGAAGTCGGAAACTGAGGGGTTCATCATGGCTTGCCAGGATGGTCTTCAACACCTTGATCTACCGCAGTCACGTGATGGGTATAGAGGTTCCTGACACAAGGTGCAGGGCCTGCCACGAGGCGCCCGAGACCCTAATGCACTTGCTATCAGCATGTCTACCATATCCGGTCTAGGCCTATATACATCGACATAACGCGGCCCTTAGAGAGCTATATTACTATCTACGGTATCTTATGGTATTGACGAGACACCGGTGTTGCCCTACGCTCCGGGGGATATTGAATCAGTTGTGGGGAACGTTCGTTCATCTGTGTTCTATTTCAGGCTATGTGTATACCAGGTTACGTTTATGTATGCTTTGGAATTTGGTGATTGCATAAACATGTTTGTTGGATTCAAGAGCCACTTTCAATGGTTCGTTTTTGTTCGGTATATACTTTCCAAATCAAATAATCTTTTTAATAGAAGTTGAGTGTGAACAAGGAGCAAGGGTACATGATTACCAGTTCAGTTATGTTATTCAGGCATTTTGAATATTTCGATTTTTCTCTGAGTCAGATAAATGTTTACAAATGGTACAGAATTATATCGTTCGCTCTGGATGATCCAGCACATCAACAACCGATGAAAATGTTGAGAAAGTGGAGAAAACTGTCATAGAGAATCGTCGAATTACTATTAGAGAAGTTGCTAAGGATGTTGGCGTATCTGTTGGCTCATAACATGAATTTTTTTCGTAAAGGACGGGCATGAATCGTATGGCAGCGAAGTTCGTTCCAAAATTGTTGAATTTTGACCAAAAAAAAGGCTCATGAACATCGCTCAGGAATTGTTGAATGACGTCAATGACGATCCAGTTTTGCTGAAAAGGGTCATAACTGGTGACAAATCATGTGTATATGGTTATGACATCGAAACCAAAGTTCAATCACTCCAGTGGCGAGATTCAAGACCAAAAAAAGCTCAAGAAAGCCAAAACCAAAAAAAGCACGCCGTGTTCGATTGATGTCAAAGTTTTGCCCATTGTTTTTTTTTATCACCGTGGCGTAGTGCATCATAAATTCTTGCCACATGATACAAGAAGTATAATCTTGAAGTTATGCGCAATTCATGGCTTTATCATTACGATTATGCACCTGCTCATTCGTCATTGCTTGTTCGTAATTTTTTTGTTAAAAGCAATACCTTCAGCCATCCTATTCACCAAATTTGGCCCTCTGCGACTTCTTTCTGTTCCCAGAATTGAAGAGAAAATGTGCATATCATAACTGCTTCGAGGATTGGATATAACGCTGGCATATCATATCTGAGTGATACTACTTTGAAGGGAACAAAATTGATGAATAATTAAATATATTTTGAGAACAGACAGTGAAATTAGGTTGCATTTTCTTCTATTTCTCTTCTTATTTTCTTGAAATATGACAAAGTGAAGTATGAAATTTCTCCTGTAGGTAGGTTTACCAGATAATAATAATTACCAGATTGCCACTAACATTTCATCATATTTTGATGGCTCTAGATTTGGGTGGGGTCACCCATACCTTATCACCATTAAGGCTTTCATTATTGCAGTTGAGACAATTGCTGCTTATCAAAGAATTTTTCATTATGGGTTTAATAACATTTCTTATAGAAGGGCAGTACAGTGCACCCTCTAGTGAAAATTCATACCAAATTGTGAAAATACATATTTCAAAATGAAATTCGAAATATTAATTTCTCCTAATCTTCCTGCACAGTAAGATCTGGTAAATGTCTGCCGGAAAACAACTACTCCTAATATGTGCATTGAATTATATTCGACAAACATTTATGCGAATTATTTCACAGAGATAATCTTCTTCGTCAGCATATTTTCCCATATCTGTAAACAACAGGAATACTGTTAATCAGTTTCTGAAGTATATATTTGATATTCAGTTCAGTTTCTTTCAACCCATAATATTACATGTTTATGCTCGTAGTTCATATAGCAGCAAAATTTCACTGAAATCAATAGAGCAGATCACCTACAAACCGGTTTCGAGCTATGTTTTCATATCTCTATTAACGAAAAACATTTGCAAATGAAACCTATGTGAGGTAACTTGCATGAATACAATGTGTTTCCTAACTACGGTACAAAACCTCAAAGGGTGATTTGTTATGTCGTTTCAAGAAAAAAAGTTCTTATGGATATATTTCATAAACTACACCTCACGATTTGATCTCCACAAACCTTATTTGAAAAGTATATCACGATATACTTGTTTCGCTAATAGTGATTTGAATACTACAAGTTGCTTTTTACACGAATATTTATATACTACCGGTAACCATAATTGAGGCTACCTCCAAC